ATGTCGTTAAAAACCTTGAGTAGAGCAGTTTCAGTGCTGTGGAGAGGTTTAAAGCCAGACTGGAATAGCTCTAAGATGGCATTATCCTCTAGAAAGCATTTCAGCTGGGACTCCACTATTTTTTCCAGCAGTTTAGCGACAAATGGGAGTCTGGAGACAGGCCGGAAGTTGGACATGACTGAGGGGTCAAGGCTAGGTTTTTTCAGGAGAGGTTGGACAGCAGTATGTTTAAAAGTTATTGGCACCACACCTGAGGCTAAGCTGCTGTTCACAATGCCAAGAACAGGAGGGCCCAGAACAGGAAGAAGCTCCTTAAGGAGTCGAGGGGGGACAACGTCAAAAGGGGAGCCAGATGGCTTCATGCCGCACATGACCTGCTCCAGGGAAGACAGAGAGATGGGCTTGAAGTGGTCCAGAACAGCAACACAATGAGATGGGATGGACGGATCATGAGCAGGTGGAGAAATGAGTGCCCGGGTGTTTGCAACTTTTTCAGAAAAGAAATGGAGGAAGTTTTCACACAGCTCAGTTGAGGCTTCTAGAGATGAAGGTTCACTGAGGTGTAGAACTGAGTTCAGGGTGGAAAAAAGGGCTTGGGGGTTGTGGGAGTTTGAGGCAATTATTGCAGAAAAGAACTTCGATTTGGCGGCTTTAACTGCCTTCTGATAATGACGCCAACTCTCCTTTAGGGTTTGAAAAGAAACCTGCAGCCTGTCTTTCCTCCACCTGCGTTCTGCTCTCCTACACTGCTGTCTAACGGCTTGAGTGACGTCATTAAGTCATGGTTCTGATAAAAGTTTTGTTTTCCTGGTTTTAACGGGAGCAACACGGTCCAGAATATTTAAGCAAACAGAGTTAAGCTGGGAGGTTAGCTCCTCGGTGGAGAGAGACACTGAGAGCTGATCGATCCTCTCAGAGCTAAAAGCATCAGTAAAACGTGCAGCAGTGAAACGGTTGATGGCGCGTGAAGTACGAGCAGAATCACATGACTTAGCAATAGGACAAGGCGGGATGATATCAAACAAGACAGGCATGTGGTCTGAGAGAACGTTGTCGCCGATTACCAAATTACAAACAGAGACATCACGTGTTAAAATGAGATCCAGAGTGTGACCGTGTTGTTGGGTGGGAGCATTTACATGTTGAATTAAATTAAATGAGTCCAACAAATCAAGGAAGTCCTTCACTAACGGCTTCTCCTGACAACAGACGTGAATGTTAAAGTCACCAACGATAATAAAGTGATCATATCTTGGTGTGATGTAAGCCAGAAAATCAGAGAATTCACTTATGAAGTCCTTGGAACGAGGGCGGCGATAAACAATCGCACACAGAACGGGCGGGGAATGTCCGAGTTCAAAAGCACTCAGCTCAAAACTGGAGCAGGACATGAGGGTGGACAACTGTTTACAGGAAAAGTTTGATTTAAATACAGTTAATATTCCACCACCCCGCCGACCTGATGGCCGCGGGGCATTAAAACACAGACAGTCCGGAGGTAAAAGTTCCACCAAGGCGCTTGAATCACCCAAAGGCAACCAGGATTCAGTGAGAAAAAGAAAATCTATTTGACCAGAGCACCTTCTTCCACATGTTTGGTGTGTCTCCCAGGTGCTTGTGACAAACTTTAAACAACACTTTTTATGGATATCTTTGAGAAATGGCTTTCTTCTTGCCACTCTTCCACAAAGGCCAGATTTGTGCAGTGTACAACTGATTGTTGTCCTATGGACAGACTCTCCCACCTCAGCTGTAGATCTCTGCAGTTCATCCAGAGTGATCATGGGCCTCTTGGCTGCATCTCTGATCAGTCTTCTCCTTGTTCGAGATGAAAGTTTAGAGGGACGGCCGGGTCTTGGTAGATTTGCAGTGGTCTGATACTCCTTCCATTTCAATATGATTGTTTGCACATTGCTCCTTGGGATGTTTACAGCTTGGGAAATCTTTTTGTATCCAAATCCAGCTTTAAACTTCTCCACAACAGTATCTCGAACCTGCCTGGTGTGTTCCTTGGTCTTCATGATGCTCTCTGCGCTTTGAACAGAACCCTGAGACTATCACAGAGCAGGTGCATTTATACAGAGACTTGATTACACACAGGTGGATTCTATTTATCATCATCAGTCATTTGGGACAACATTGGATCATTCATAGATCCTCACTGAACTTCTGGAGTGAGTTTGCTGCACTCAAAGTGAAGGGGCCCAATAATATTGCACACCCCACTTTTCAGTTTTTTATTTGTTCAAAAAGTTTGACACATCCAATAAATTTCATTCTACTTCACGATTGTGTCCCAGTTGTGGTTGATTCTTCACAAAAAATTATAATTTTATATCTTTATTTTTGAAACCTGAAATGTGGCAAAAGGTTGAAAAGTTCAAGGGGGCCGAATACTTTCGCAAGTCACTGTAATTCACTTTAAAAATGTATTTCAGTAAAAAAAATAAAACAAATACAGTGGTTGATGAGGTTTTTGTGAAATGGTTTATTAGCAATGATTGTATAGTTTAACTAGCAATATTTGGGGCCACAGTTCTCTGCAACGTTTATTTTGTTCGTTAAATGCTAAAAAGTTTGAGAACCACTTATTTTCTTGAAAACATGTGTTTTATAAACTACCTTCATTTTCAAGTTGATTGAATTTCAAGAGTTTATTTGAGCGTCTGTGTCTGTCCTGCATTTTACCAGCCAGCTGAGTCTTTTTTAGCACATGGACATTTCTGTACATTTACTTTGAAGAAGTCCGTTCTTCATAATAATGGATTTGATGTGGTTATGTGTTTCAGCACGTTGACATGTCAGGCTCAAACTAAGTTTATTTATCATCCGGAGAGCTAACTGACCTCGACTCGACCGCTCCTAAAAAAAGCAAACTGCAGCAGCTGCTGTCTTATGTAAATGTTTTCAAAGTGGTCATTATTCAGCCTCTACAAAAAAAAAAAAAAACATGCAGTGAGAGTTATTTATTATGTTTCCAAAAGTAAATCCTTAATGCTCACTTTGCGTACACAGTTTCATCTTTTTTTTTCTAGAGTGATTGGTACAAAACTGAACTCTTTTTTTAATTTTTTTTATAGAAACATTTCGAGGCTCAGTATGTTTTTTCAGCTACATCACATTCTGATAAAACTGGCTGCTGCTCAGAGCTCTAAATCATTTCTGCTTATTTTAGCCAAACGTTATCAGTCCGAGCCTCATTTGGCTTTCTGACAGATATTTTGTCAGATGATAATAATCAATGCTCTCTGTGCTTGGCCTGGTACCTGTAGTAGATCTAAACCTGATTAATCTCGACATGTTGAACTGTGAAAGTTTGAAACCACAAAATCACTTCAAAGCTCTCTTTTTAAAAGGTTCATTGACTGTGTGCACATACTGGCTTTAACATGGTGTTATTTCTCTATTCTGCTAAAGGTTGTTTGTGACACACGAAAACTCCTAATTTATGTACCTGAAACATTTGTGTTTATTACATTTTTCACCTAAGAGGGTTTCCATTATTTTACCGGAGTAATGCATTCTGGGGCATTGACTTACCTTGGTTGTAGTGGAGCCTAAAACACAAGTCAAGGCTAAAACGTTATAACCTGTGACAATAAAGTTATATTTTGTATAAGTTCTTATGCACAGTATATGGGTCAGAATGATCAATTATATCAACTTGTGATGTTTAAATTATTAGCTCTGAACTTTATGTCATATATAATAGCTTAGGGGCTAAAGTTATAAATATTAGCTCTGGAGCTAACATCATATATATTTGCTCTGGACCTAATGTCATATACATTAGCTCAGGAGCTAACATCATATATATATATTAGCTCTGGACCTAATGTCATATACATTAGCTCTGGACCTAATGTCATATACATTAGCTCAGGCTCAAATGTCATATATATTAGCTCAGGATATAATGTCATATATATTAAGTCAGAACCTAATATCATTTATATTAGCTCAGGACCTAATATCATATATATTAACTCAGGAGCTAACATCATAAATATTAGCTCAGGAGCTAATGTCATATGTATTAGCTAATATATTAGCTCAGGAGCTAATGTCATAAATGTTAACTCAGGACTTAATGTCATATATATTAACTCAGGAGCTACGTCATAAATATTAGCTT